CCATCAGAGCCCCATGAATCGTTCCCATCCCCACAGCATCTGCACCGTGGTGGTTCTTTTGTGTCCCCTTCTGGGAACGTGGGCTGGGAGGGGAGCTGGAGGAGTGAATACAAGCAAATTTCACCCTTTTCCCATCCCAACCTGAGATTTCCTGTTATAAAATGCTCCCATGGTAATGGAGGAAAACTGTCGCCCTTCCTCTCCCCATCGGAGCCCTGCCCAGGGAACACCCCACAATACGAGGGTGGGGACAACTCCTGCTGCCGTTCCCAAAATGCCGTGATTTCTTAAAACCCTATTGTTTGTGTGTGATATCATTGCAATGCTCTGTGCATCCCAGCTCCCTGCAGCTGGAGCAGCTGCAGGCTCCAGCGCTGCTCCGAGCCTGGTCTGGGGGTGGCTCAGATAACGGGGAGGACTCTCTCTTAGACAAAGCCTCAATTGCTCAGAGGGATCCCACCAGGCAGAGCCCTGAGCTCTGGTAGATCCAAAGCCCGAGGCTTCCTTCTGTGCTTCAGCTGGAAGCCAGAAAAGGGTGCTGTTGACTTTTGGAGGGGCTGCCTCAGCCGAGGCTGGCTGAAAACATCAATATTTGTCCTGTAAGAAAAGGAAGAAGCATTAATATGCTCGGAGGGATTGTTTTATAGCCTGTGACTTCATCGTTTATGTAAACTAAGATGGGGTGAGCCACATTGCTGCCAAATTAGGACAGAGATTTGTAGAAATTTGCACTCCAGGGAGACAGCGTGACCTCTCTGGAGGCCAGAAGAAAGCAGTTCCTTTCAGCCCCAAACACACAGTGTTTGAACAAACGGATTGGCTCGGGACTTTTGTTTTTTGTCATCTTCTCCAGCAGTAAATGTCAGGGGCAGGCTGAGGCAGGGTCTGTGCTGTGTGACAAATCCGCCGGGCAGAGCTGATGTCGTGTGAAGGTCTTTCATGGGTCAAATAGGAGAATTTATTGGATGCGTTTCCTGCGTGTTCCTTACATGCAGATGTGTCCACCTCTGGTAGTGTGGCTTGAGCCTCCCCCTGTGACTCCAGACATCACGCTTTTTGCCTTTTCACTGGCCTTTTCCCTCTCTCTTGCAGTCTTCTCAGAGCTGCAGCTCTGGCCGCCAGAATCACGCCCGGCTGCAGAGCGACTCCAGCTCCAGCACACAGGTGGGTGGCAGCACCTTGTCCCCTCTTGCTCATTCAGACCCCCTGACAGCTCTGCCTGGGCTTGGGCTGATCACTAGTCAATAACCATCATGATTTCTGGCAAACAGAAGCAGTATTTGGAGGTAAATAACTCACAAACCTGCCTCTGGAGCCACTAAGGTCAGAACTTCCCACTGCTTGGTGGTGTTTGGCTCTGCCCAGGCTTGAAGGACCAACCCCCATGGTGGCCTTCACACTTGAGGGCCCTTGGCTGTTCCGTATGTTCGTAACCATGTGTTTAACCAACCTGTTTAAATGACGTTCTGCCTGACATATTACGCTGAATAAAGCGGAGCCCTTTGGAGCAGGGACTGTGGGCTCCGAGTTGTGCAAATGACCGAGCACTGACCTGCCCAAATCCAGGCAGGGAGGAACCTAAGGGCTGAAAGCTGTGCCCAGAAATTCCTCCCGAGAGTCTGGTTAAACTGGGACAGAGAGCTAGATGCCCAGGCTGAAGTTGTCTTCTCATTATAGCAAAGGTGTGGAGCCACAACCATGCCCTTAAGTCCTCCAGGCTTTCTTCCACTGGTTCCTTTAGTGAGCTGTGCACATCTAGAGATCTTCCTCCCTCCCCACCGTTGGGAACACGGGCATTATGTCCCCAAGAGCTGCATTCAGCAGTAAAACTGCTGAATGCAGCTCTTGGGGACATAATGCCCGCGTTCCCAACGGTTTGCTCACTCTCACATGTCCTTCTCCTCGTGCTCTGCAGGTGTTTGAATCCGTTGACGAAGTGGAACAGACTGAAGGAGATGCTCAGCTGGAAGATGGCAAACCAAGCAAGATCCCTAACGGGACGGTTCCCAACGGCACGTGTTCCCCTGATTCTGGCCACCCTTCTTCCCAGAACTTCTCCATCGCCTCGGGATTCTCCGAGCGCAGCTTCAGCAACGAGGACAGTGCCCTGGAAACCAACAAATCCTCGGCCAGCTCTCAGGGAAAGGCTGGTGGGTCCGATGTGCCAGCCCCACAGGATGGTGCCCAACAGGAGGAGAAGCTGGAGGGGCAAGACAGCCTGGAAGGGGAATTTCCCACCAATGGAAGTGTGGACTTTGTTCCTGTGGGTGAGAGCTCGGCAGGGGTCCTGCGTGACCGTGACGCGGTGGCCCTGACCGTGGTTGAGAGCTGGGCAGACAGTGAAGCTGAAAAGCAAAGCTTGGTGGAGAGTGAAGGGAACCTCTCTGAGGAGCCAGAGATGGAGAGCTTGTACCCACAGCTGGATTCTCTGGCTGTAGCTGATCTGGCCAACGGTGAAGCATCTACTGTCTCCTCCACGGGTGTCACCTACTCTGTAAGTATGGACTTCTTTGCTGAGTGGGTTCCTCCTGGGGGCTTCACTACTTACCTGTGTTTGTGCTGTGCTAATCCTGCAGCTGTGTGTACACAGAATCATAGAATCATCTGGGTTGGAAGGGACCTTTCAGATCATGGAGTCTGACCATCAACCTAATACTGACAAAAACCATCACTAAACATCACTCTAAGCTCTATGTCAACCCATCTTTTAAATACCATCAGGGGTGGTGCCTCAGCCACTTCCCTGGGCAGCCCATTCCAAGGCTTAATAACACTTTCAGTGTAAACATTTTTCCCAATATCCAATCTGAACCTCCCATGGTGCAACTTGAGGCCGTTTCCTCTTGTCCTGTGGCTCGGAAGAAGAGACCAATCCTCATCTTTCTACACCTCCCTTTCATGGAGTTGTAGAGAGCAAGAAGGTCTCCCCTCAGCCTCCTTTTCTCCAGGCTGAACACCCCCAGCTCCCTCAGCCTCTCCTCCTAAGACTTGTTCTCCAAGGGCTACAGGGGCTCTCCACCTTCCACCTAAACTCTGCCCTGTCACTCCATTGCCCTTGCAACTTTCTTTTTGGTTTTTATTTGAAAACAAAACAACTTTGCTTTTGTTTTGGGCAGCCAGAGCTACTGGACATGTACACGGTGAACCTGCACCGCATTGAGAAGGACGTGCAGCGGTGTGACCGCAACTACTGGTACTTCACCCCTGCCAACCTGGAGAAACTCCGCAACATCATGTGCAGGTGGGAGCCATGGGGGTGAGGGTGGGGGCCGTCCCTGCCACGGGAGCAGGCTCCTGACACTGGTGGTTGGTTTTCCTGAATTTACCTTGAGGCTGGAACCTCAAACTTTGCTCTGGTTACTGAGTTTCACCTCCTTGACTTCCTCCCCCAAGTCCCATCATCATCGTGGCCAGCAGGGCGAGGGAGGGGATTCAGTCCCTCTGCTCTGGTGAGACCCCACTTTGGGGGGGTTCTGTGTCCAGCTTTGGAGTCCTCAGCATAAGAAGGATATGGACCTGTTGGAGAAGGTCTGGAGGAGGCCATGGAGATGATGAGAGGGCTGGAGCTCCTCTGCTGTGAGGACAGGCTGAGAGTTGGAGTGGGCAGCCTGGAGAAGAGAAGGCTCTGGGGAGACCCTAAAGCCTCTTGCAGTCCCTAAAGGGGCTACAGGAGAGATGGGGACTCTGGATCAGGGAAGGGAGCGACAGGACGAGGGGTAATGGTTTTAAACTGAAAGAGTGGGGGTTTAGATGAGATATTAGGAAGAAACTCTTTGCTGTGAGGGTGGTGAGAGCCTGGCCCAGGTAGCACAAAGAAGCTGTGGCTGCCCCATCCCTGGAGGGGTTCAAGGCCAGGTTGGAGGGGGCTTGGAGCAACCTGGTGTGGTGGGAGGTGTCCCTGCCCAGGGCAGGGGGGTTGGAACTGGATGATCTTTAAGGTCCCTTCCAACCCAAACCGTTCTATGATCCCAGAGCTGTGGGGCTACAGTCAGGGGTCCAGCCATCCTGCCTTGTGCTGCTCTGCCCCGTGACTACCTTGTGTCTGAGTCATTGGCCAAAGCAAAGGGTTCCCTGGGGCTGCCCAGTCAAGCTGCCTCGTGGTCTGAACCCAGCACAGCCCACCTGCTCCCTGGCTAATGTCTGGAAAATAATTTAATGAGGATGAGCCCGCGGAGCTGTGGTGCTAATGAGGAAGTGCCTGAAGCGACCTGGTGGTTAGTGCCTACCCAGGAGACAGCGATACCTGGGCGCGTTTCTCATTCTCTTTGCTTGGTCCCTGTGACTAAGAGGTTGCTGTGTGACATTCCCCACCTCAAATCAGCTCCAGCTCAGCAGCTGGTGGCTGCTTCAGGGGCAGCGAAGACTAAAAAATATTATTACTCATCTTGCAAATATGAGGAGAAGCTGCTATTTCATTAGAGCCATCGCTTTATCTGACAGCCAGAGTCGGAGATATCTGCGGAGATGAGACCTCTGATACAGCAGATCTTTTTTTTTTTTTTTTGAAAACTAGTGGGGTTGGGTAGAAAAGATTGTTCCCTTTTGTGCCAGCAGTGGATCCGTGTCCTTTCCGACCACAATTTTGACTTGTTACCTAATATGGGAAGATATCTCTGCAGGCTTGGGTGCTTCCTGGGATGCCGGGTTCAGGGAGGCGAAGCAGGGGGGATGGTATTGGGCAGAGAGAGCCCTTTTTTTTTTATTTTTCCATGCAAAAAACCATGGCACAGCCCTGGATCGACACCCTGCGATGGCCGTGGCCATCGCAGGGTGTCGATCCAGGGCTGTGCCATGTGTGATTTATTTAAAAGTCCCCACAGAAACTTAATCATTGACAGGAAGAACGGAGCTACAGGCTTGACAGAATAAACAGGTCTTATTTTTTTTCCCCTGCCTGCTGGTCCTGGGAAGGGAGGCAGGGCATGGGCAAGCGAGGTGACAGGCTGTGACACTCAACGTGGCTCCTGAGAACTTCTCACGTTGCTCTCTCTCTCCTGCAGCTACATCTGGCAGCACATTGAGATCGGCTACGTGCAGGGGATGTGTGACCTGCTGGCCCCTCTCCTGGTCATCCTGGATGACGGTGAGTAGGTGGTTCTGCTCTGCTTTCCCCATCCCGTTGTTGGGAGCACGTGGTGGGATCTGCTGGGCCGGTGGTGGCCCTTTGCAGCGGGAGGGTCCCACGCTCGGAGGTGTGGAGCAGCTGGTGGCACCATCCCGTTTATCCTTGACTCCCAGTAGACCCAATCTGTGGACAACAGGTACTTTTTGGAGCAGGAGCTGTCTTTCCAAAGCCAGTCCCTGATGGTGTGTGTGGAGCAGGGAGGGATGTTCCTGCTGTGGGTAGATGGTGGGATGTGGTGATGAGGGGGCAGGAGTGTCTGTGCAGCCAAGCAGTGACCATCTCTCCACTCTCCACCCTCCACAGAGGCTCTGGCCTTCAGCTGTTTCACCGAGCTGATGAAGAGGATGAATCAGAACTTCCCCCACGGGGGAGCCATGGACACCCACTTTGCCAACATGAGATCCCTGATCCAGGTATGGAGATCATGGCCCAGTAGCCTTTCGAACCAGGGAAGGAAAACTGTTCTTGGGACCCTGGAGGGACCGAGAGGAGATTTCAGTGGTGGGAAGCAGGAGGGAGAACCAGGGGGCTGTAAAGACAGCCTGGGAGTAACACGTGCCAGGGTTGGAGAGGAGGGAGAAGCTGGGTGGGAGATGTTGTGGTGCAGTAGGAGAGCAGCAGGAATGGGGCAAGGCAGGCAGAGGGAGGGTTGGGGCCTCTCGTGTGCACCGATGAGTTTCCTTTTGCTTCTCTTGGCAGATTCTGGACTCTGAGCTCTTTGAGTTGATGCACCAGAATGGTGACTACACTCATTTCTACTTCTGCTACCGATGGTTTCTCCTGGACTTCAAGAGAGGTGTGTGCAGTTGTTTGAACTCTTTCTCATGTATTCCCATTTTGCTCTTCCCTGGTCGATTTGTGGTTGACTTTTCTGTCTAGAGAGAGAACCTGTTGTTCCAGAGCTGCTGGTGAACCTCCAGCGGGTTTGTGTGCTGACGCCTGTGCCACCTGCTGCAGGCCAGAATAGTTGTGTCTGCGGATGACTGACTTATTGCTTCCAACTGGAACAGGTTCTTGTGGGGAGGAACCACCCGGCGTGTCTCCCCGGTGCTGCTGTGAAGCCTGTGAGTCGGGTTGATTGTAAACCCGTGGCTGGTGGTGCAACTGCTTCTTCCTCTCTTCCCAGAGCTGGTGTATGATGATGTGTTTGCTGTCTGGGAGACCATCTGGGCAGCTGCACACGTTTCCTCTGCGCACTACGTGCTCTTCATAGCCCTGGCTTTGGTGGAAATGTACCGGGACATAATCTTGGAGAACAACATGGATTTTACAGACATCATTAAGTTTTTCAACGGTACGGTTGGTGTTCTCTTGGGCTGAATTTGTGGCAGCTGTTTGGATCTCAGCAGCACACCTCTGTGTGACTGCAACCAGTCATGGCTGGGCTACACTGGTAAATGTTTAGCACAAACAGGGCAGAGTATGGTTGTGCGATGCTGGTGCTTGGAACACAGTGGTGAAGAGACCCCTTGTCTCACACCATCAGGCCCTGAGGGGGTCTGGCCTGAGGGGAGCCACCCCACCACCATCCTTGGCATCAGCCCACCTTGCCGTGCTCGAAGGGAGCTGTGAGCACAACCAGTCATGGCTGGGCTACACTGGTAAATGTTTAGCACAAACAGGGCAGAGTATGGTTGTGCGATGCTGGTGCTTGGAACACAGTGGTGAAGAGACCCCTTGTCTCACACCATCAGGCCCTGAGGGGGTCTGGCCTGAGGGGAGCCACCCCACCACCATCCTTGGCATCAGCCCACCTTGCCATGCTTGAAGGGAGCTGTGAGCGTAGGTTGTGCTTCCTGCTGGCTGTAATCAGCCTGGGATGAGCTGGTTAATGATGGCTCTTCAGAGTCAGGTGTCTCTGAAGATGGTGCTTGGGAACTCTGGGAGGAATTTGCAGCTTCAGCTCCTGCCTGGAGCTTGGCTGAGAAGCCCAGAGCTGTGAGGATGGGGGTCTCCTTGAGACACCCGGGTTCCTCAGGTCTAACCTCCTTGTGGCTTCCTTCTGTCTGTCTTCCAGAAATGGCTGAGAGGCACAACACCAAGCAGATCCTGAAGCTGGCTCGGGACCTTGTCTATAAAGTCCAGACTCTGATCGAGAACAAATGAAGGACGTGAGGAAGATGAGGCATCCAGACAAAGAGCCGGGACTCCCCTTCAATGCTTCCTCCCCTTCTCCTTTCTCTCCAAGTGCCACACCTGTGGAAACAAGGTAGTTGGACACAGGCTGCTGTCTGAACTGGAAGTACCCTTAGCTCTCCAAGTGTTCAGTGTTAGGTCCAGGGGCCCCGGCTCAGATCTTCGCGGCCTTTTTCAGTGACTTAACCAAAGATCTGTACAATTGTGTTTTATTGCTAAGGCCTGGCTTTGGAAGCAGGACCCAGGCAGTGGCAGCAGAAGGGCAGCAAGCGTGGTGGTTCCCACCACAGCTGCTGAGGCTGTTGCCAGCATCCCAGGTCTGAGCTCGGGCTCCACAGCCCTTGTTGTTGTGAGGAAATAAAAGCTGGTTCCTTGGCCAGTCGTCACCCCGTGGCCCGGGGAAGCCAGCCAGCCCTGCAAGCCTGGACAAGACAGGGATGCTGCCATGCTCAGTTTCTTACTAACATGAGGTTCTGCCAGTAACAGAGAGGGGCTTTGATCACAGAAATTCTTCTGATCTTGTCCCTTGATGCGTAGCATCCCCGTTAGTAGTATTTTATTTTTTTTTTAGGGCTGTGTTCTCTCCCTGGGATTTTTATGTTGTTTGTTACTATGATATCTGAGCACACGAGAGTTTCGTCTCTGGATGGATTTTCAGAAGAGCTCCCAAATCAGCATCGGGTTTTTTCTTTCAAAATCCAGCCTGTGTAATGCTCTCTGAACACTGGAAAATCTGATCTGAACCTCCTCTGGGAACTCTAGACTTGAGGTTTTCTTACCTGCCTTACTCTGGCTGCTTGTGGTAGGAGTCTGGTCTCCCCGTTGTTCCTCTTCGACCCCCGTTAGGGCAGAGCTCCTCGGAAGGCAAGTCAGAGCTCCTGACTTTCCCTCTGAAGGTGCCTATCTCTTCCTCTGTTAATTAAAAGACCAGCTTCTCAAAGCCTAGACAGTGCAAACCATCCCCTTGGTGCCTGCAGATTTTCTGTGTGCTTCTGGGGCTGGCTGCGAAAGCCCCCTAAGTCCACTGAAAGTCTCTGGTTAGATCTTGGTGGGCTTCTTTCACACTCCTGTGAAGAGGAAAATAGCCCAAGGTCCCCGAGTGGTCTTTGCTTTTGGAAGATGCACTTCTGTGGCCGCTTTTCCTGCAGTGGCTCTCCAGCCTGGCAGCCCCTGGAGCACACTGCATGAAGTGCCTCTCCAGCGCGACCGGCGTGAGAGCTGATGGCTCTGCTGCTGAGGGTTTGGATTCATTTTTCAACTCAGGTAAAAAAAAAAAAAAAATGGGGAAAAAGAGAGGTGTAGGTTGTTGGTAGCTCTGGTTCCGCCGGGGAGGACTTTGTCCTGGCCACAGAAGGCTGCGGTGAATGTGTGCTCTCAGCAGCAGGGAAGATGCTGGGTTGTAGCTCTCTATAAGGGTAATTTCTCTCAAGTTTTGCTGCAAAAATTTGTGTTCCCCCCTCCATGCGATGTGTGATGTGTGTGTGTGTGTGCCCTCCTCCTCCCCTCTGCAAGATAAGGCCCTGCTCTTCTCTTGCTGTCGGAGCGCTGCTCGCCAGAAGGGAAAAGGGGCCCTTCCCTTCTTCTGTGGAACATCCGTCTGTGCTGACTGTGGTTTGCAGTTACTTGTGGCGTGTGTCAGATGTTGCTTGCAGGAAAAAAAAAAAGGCAGATGTAAAGCTGTGGAAGAGAAAACTGCTGCTCCAGGAAAGTTCTGCAGAGTGCGGTGAAGCGGTTTGTGGTTTTTTGAGGAGATCAGTTTGTCTTTCTGCAGTCCTGGGACCTGGAGGTTGCAGCCAAAAAAAAATGGGGAACAGCAGTGGGTGCTGAACCCTTTGGGGAAGAGAACTGGGGGTGAGAGCCACGGGGAGCCTTTCATTTCTCATCATCCCGACAGGCAAATCCAACCCAAGGGTGTAGGAAATCCTCTGAAGTGATTTTCTGCCTCAAATCTCCAAAGAGGACTTGGTCTGTAGGAACACAGGAGACAAAAGGCGCTTGAGTTTCAGATCTGCCCTCCCTGGCAGGCTGTTCCTGTCCCCTCCAGGTCCCAGGACAGGTGACAGTCTGCCCGTGTCACCTTCTGTGATGCTCTGTCCTCCCCTTTCCGAGGGACAGGAACCCATAGGTCAACTGGAAGACAGTCTTACCAAGCAACGTTCGCTGACACTTTATCTTTCAAGCTTCTGTTTTTCTTTTCTTGGTTTTTTTTTTAAGCAAAAACAGCCAAGAGATTCTGCACAATATTTGCTGTCTGTATTAACTGAGAGTGTCTTTGGGCCGCTCAATAGCAGTGTTTTTTGAATAACTTCTGGGGGGGGAAAAAAAGAAGTATTTATTTATTGATTGTACATTACTGTGTGTCCTTGTATAACTGAAGTATGTGAGTGTGTGTTGTTATGCAAATGGAGATATATCTTTTCAATGGTCTTTAAAATATCTTGTAAATGTTTACCAGAAAATTGTGTCTATATATAATATATATATACAGTATAGAGAGAAAATATGTGAATTAAGTGGGTTATTTTTTTGAGGGGGGGGGAGGGAGGGAGAAGAAATCTTTTGCTTCTGAGAACTGTGTGGTTTCTATAGCACCTATTCCATGATGTGCCAATCTGTCACTGTCCCTCTCCTGTGAGAGTTGTTCTGGGCCACGGGAGGCTCAGAGCAGAACCCCCACCGTGCCCTCTGCTTGGATTGAGTTTAGTTCTGACTGGAACTGGAAAAGGAGGGAAAAAACTTCATTAAGAAAAGGCTTTGTTCCAGCTCTGGTGCCGAGTAGAGCTGTCAGGAGCAGAGGTCTGCTGGAGGTTTGGTGCAGGGTTTGGTGCCTGCCCTGGGATGAGTTTGGGCAAGAGCAGTTGCAGAGTCGAGGCTTGGTGTGGGTTGCAAAGAAGTTGGATAGTCCAAAGAGTATGGTGTGTCATTTAAATTGGGACTAAAGTGATTCTCCTATGCAGCTGATGGTATCTTTTTATTAGGAAGGGAGTATTCCATGTCCTGCACAGAGGAGCTGATCTGCTCTTCTTGCCAGTGCCCATCCAGAGGAGCTCTGTTGAGGGCAGTGTGTCCCATGCACCGCTGTAAATTCATAGAAAAGTCAGTGAAAACCATCTACTCCTGAATATTCTTGTGAGAAGTCGAGTCTGAACGTGGAGGTGCAGCTTTGTGTTCCCCTGCAGACCTGAGACACGAGACCTGAACCATTTCCAGGCCCTGTGCTGGTGGAGGGTGCTGTTCCCTGGCTGCCCACCCTGCCGGCATGGGAGCAGGCAGGACAGCAGCCGGGGAGGTCACAGACAGGATGTGATGTGTGGTCCCAGTTTGGTTTTGAGCATCTTACCAGAAGCTGCAGTGGGAGCTGTGCTCCTGCTGACCCCTCTGGGACACCCCCTGTCCCCCCCAGTGGGTTTCTGTGCACGTGGAGACCCAAAGTGAAGCAACACCAGGAGCCTGGGGCTCGAGATCTACTCAATGCTTAAAAGATTTTTGTTGTCCAGCTGTTTGTAGGCCCTCTCCTGCCCCTCTGCTGGGTTGCCCCGAGGTGAAAGCCTTATTCTGGGTGCCCAACAGTGAGAATCCCTCCCGGCTCTGCAGCCGGAGGATCGTCTCTTTACCATGGAGGGAGAAGCCCGTGGCAGGGGAATGCCTGCCCATATACAGTCATCTTCTCTGCCTCCTTGGGGGAGAGGAATGTCTCATCCCAGCAGCTCTGTGCAGCTGAAATCCACCCCGAGCAATGGCACTGTGAGCTGGGGACTATCTTTAGCCCGTCGTTGTGGGAGAGGGGACTCGAGGTGGCCCCATCCTTCCCACCGGCTCCGTGTCCCGCTTGTCCCCAGCCCCTTCTCTCTGCCCCAGTCCCTCCAGGGCTGATCCCAAAGGATGGGCTCCCCGGGCTGAGCTGTTTGACTCCTGTGGCACTGAGCCCCCACAGAGGTGTGGGGTTTCTTCACATTATCTGTTGTTGGAGCTGCTCAGCCGGCGGGGGATCCCGCTGTCTTTAAAAACAGTGAATGGTGGTGTCCCGGCCCCGTGTTCCCCCGAGGGACTTACTAAAGGATTCTCTTTCTGCCTTTGAGCTTTCTATTGATGCGCCCCACAAAATAACTCTGGGTGCCCATCGCTTGCAGTGTTACTCATGTAAACACTTGAGAAACTGTCTTTGTTCCTAAATGTATGACTTTTACAGGAGTTTTTCTCTTATTGTGAGTCTTTGAATCTCACTTGAGAAACTGTCTTTGTTCCTAAATGTGTGATTTTTTTAATAGGAGTTTTTCTCTTACTGTGAGTCTCTGAATCGCTTCACTATTAACATTTTTCATGAAGACCACGAGGGTTTTTTGCACAGGAACTTCTGGCTGCTGCCCTGTTCTGCTCTCATCCAGCCCCTTACGTTTTGAACATCCCTTAACATATCCAGATAAACCCTTTATTGTAACTGGAGCCAGGAGCAGAAATGCAGGTGTCAGCAGAAGGTGTCAGCAACCATTGTCACTGATAAGTGAAGAACAGATCCAGAGAAGTGGTTCTTTTTGGTGTGGCAGCTTGGAATCTGCTGGGCCCCCATCCCTAAATTCCACCCTGGAGACAGGGGCCTGGTGACAGGCTGGTGGCCAAGACCACGGGATGAGATTATTCTTCTTCTTTCTTCTTTATTTCTTTGTTTGCTTATTTTAATCTGGCTGCTTTTCCTTTCTTTCCTTGTTCACTTTGAGCAGCTGCACTGGGAGCCACTGTGGTAACCAGTCCTCAAAAACAGGTATGGGACCAGTTTCAGGATGCTCATCATCTAAGTTTGCTTTTAGGATGCTCTTGCTTTTAAAAATATCTTATAATATCTGTCTTAAATTGCTGCTCTCTGCCGTGGCATTGCTGTGCGGGTAGTGGTAGCCTCTGAGCCCCTTCATCAGTGGGGCCAAAGTGATTGTCATTTCATCCAAACATCGGTCAACTATTTCTTGATCCATTTGGGAATTTTTCCTGAGTAGTTCTGGGCACATTTTCGGCATTTTCCTGTCGCCTGAGCACAAATCAATAGTGAAAAGAGCACAACTGACCGACAAAGTGACAATTTTCTAGCAATATGGAAGGGTTGTAACTCGCCAGCCCCAGTTTTCAGAAGTTCTTATAAAAGTTTTCAGATAAAATGCCCGCTATTTCAGGCGCTCCGATGGTCGTCACTCAAGGTCATTATCCTCGTTGCCTGCCCCGAAGTAAACACGTATCTCTAATTAAAACACCTGAAGTCCTCGTGGTCCCTGGTCACACTCACCACATTTATGTTTTATGGTGGCAGCGTGGGCCAAAGTTCAGGTTGTTTTGGTGCTGTAGCCGGGCTTTTCCACAGCTTCGAGTGCTTGGATTTCTTCAAAACTTTGTCCAAATCCTGATTTTCCTGGAGAATGTACATTGTTGGAATAGCCATAGCAGTCTTTTAATACGTGTCTAAGTTTAGATTAGTGATAGGCATATTCAACCTTAAATTCTCATTCAGTAGTTTAATGACTTCCTTTTTATAAAATTGATTTTGCACATGGAGACTGAGCAGGGACCCAAAGAAGGGGCTGCAGGTGATGGTCTCTGGTCCCTGTCCAGGTGTGGTGGCACACAAAGGGTCTGTGTCCCCCCCTGGGACTCCCCAGCAGGACCAGTCCTGCCATGTCCCAGCCCCTGTCCCACCAGAGGGGTCTGTGGGGTCTCTGGGGTCTCCCACAGAAGCCCCCACAGGAGATACCATCACCCCTGCCCTTGGTGGTGGCAAGAGCCTCCCTGGAGATGGGCACGTGGCAGGGGACAGGCATGAAGTGCCACTGGAGATGGCGAGGAGGGAGGAAGGCCACTTTTCATCAACTTTTTTTGTAAGCGGTAAAAAGGGTAAAAAGTACTGTTTATCTGTTTTGGGTTTTTTTTAAATATATTAATTAATCGATGCTAAAATTTAAACTATGCACAAGATCTCAAGTAGTACATGGAAGGTTTAAGAACTGGTGTGGCTTCACTGCTGGGGAGAACAAAGAGTGGAAAATCCTAATACTGGATACTGAGATACTAAAAAAATTTCATTTTCCTGACTACGTAAGAAGATCTAATTAAATTCTCAGAAATTCAGTCTCTTCTCGGAGAGTAATTCCCAGGAGCCGGGGAAGGAGAGAGAGCTGTTTTCTCACCAACAGAATTAATGACAACTTCTGTTGCAAATCCAACTCGGATGTAACCTTAGACCCGTGATTGTCACTCCCCTCGTGCTGGCGGTGTGTTGGGGAGAGCTGGAGGGGGTGACACTGGGCTGTCACCCCCCCTGGAGCTGTCGTGGTGGTGACAGGTACCGTCCCAAGCTCTGTGGG